GTAATCATACCGCGAAACTGTGATATTTTCGCTCAAGGTTATCATACCGTCCCATGCCTAGTCTGCTCTGTGGTACAGAGTCCTGACGACTCCTAACTTGTGTTCCAGTAGGTGAGGAGAAATCACGTTTTTCTTGTTAATTGTTGCTACTTTTTCCACCTATTTTCAACCAGTACAGATGATTTCATTCAGGTTTTAAAGGCTCAAAGGAACAAATCCTGTCAGACAAATTAAGCCTTTTAAAATAGGAACTTTAAGCATTTGCATGCATTATCCTTTTTTTTTTTTGTTGAATCAATAAAACTACCAAAAATAATTCAAAAATAGTATAGAGTCCATTGTTATGGTTTACGTAGCCAGCTGCACATGCTCTCTGGAAACCTGTAGAACTTRATTTGCTTAAGGCGGATGTCCTGTTCAAACAATTAACCACAACTGATGGGAATTTAGCCGTTTTATATAATTTTGATTATTACCCAAAATATTGCAACGTAGTTGTTTTGCCACATAAACAAAAAGTGGCTGGTAACCAGAAATACGTCATCGCAATTTCACGTTTACCACCAAAAAACATGATTCTAGAGGTTTCAGCAAACTTGTCGTGCTATGTCTGAGTCAGGTGTTATTTTTTGTTTCTCAAAGACTTTGATTGCCATCATATAAATTCTAAAATGTGATCTTGTGTGATCGTAAAGTTTCTCAGAATAAACTCTTAAACACCACGTGCAGACAGTTAAGCTTTAAAGAAATAAGTATTTCAGAAAACCCTTCTATTTMGTACAATATGAAACCAGCAGTAAAACCCTACAAATCAGAGAAATTCAACACATTTGATACTCAAAACTCTGCTCAGCAACTCAATAACTCCTTTATTTGTAATGTTCTGTCACCTCCTCTTTCCAGTTTCTGATGCAAAAGAAGCAATCATTTCTTAAATAAAGAAAGCAGAAAACATATTTACAAAATTCAAATAAAACTAATAATCAACAGATTATCTAAAGCACCTCTCTGCATCTGGACAACTGTTCTCTGTTGGAAAAGGAGACACTGCAATTATATCAGAAAATCACCATTTCTGAAAAATAAAACAGAAAAAGAAAAAAAAAAGTATATCATCGTTATTATATATTTACAGAAAGGTCCTGAAATGAGTTTTCACTTAATGTAGAAAAGGCTTTCGGATCACTTCTGCTTTTTATTTTTTTAATCTTTCTTTTCCACTCTATATATATTTTATCAAGTTAAWTTTTTTTTCTGCAGATTTCAAGTTTAAACTGTGATTGGGTCATTAAGAGTCAGGTTTAGAAGAGGTAAAGAGGAAGAGTCAGTCAGTGTAGCTCGCTACTGGGGGGGCGGGAGAGGATGGCTTAGAGGAAGCATTAAGACCACCTCCCAGTAGTGCCGAGTCCACAGTCCACTGTAAGCTCAAAACAGGAAACAGAAAAAGGAAAATAGACAACCTTCGCTTTAAAAACTCCATCTGTCAAATTAAGATTAGTTCATGTATCTTTCATAGCAACACACTTCAGTCATGCTGCACATTCCAGTAAAGGACCTGTGTTTGGATTGAACTGGTGAACGACCCGTCCCTCAATGAATCACAGAACCCACCGCACGGCACACCGCCCCCCTGCTGGTTCTTCCTGCAGGTCCGAGAGGATCATAGGCATAGAGCAATGAGAGAGCAGCCAGTTGGTTTGTGTTTTACTGTGACAAAAAGTCGTAGTGATGTGGGAGATTTCACACCTCGTTAAGAAGCAGTCCTGCTGAATCATTTTCAAGTTTATCTGATGAGGACACTTGCTGTGTAAAGCAGGAGGAGGAGGAGGAGAGTGATGTTTCTTTTTTTGTTTGTTTGTTTTTTGAGTTCACCCCCCCAGAGAAATAAAAAATAAAACAAAAATAAAGATTTATCCTCATTGAGGATTGATTAGAGTCTGCCACTCTGGCTTCATATAACGTTCATGACTCTTCGCAGGTTCCCTGTCTAGACAAAAGGGGAGGTGGCAGATYGGACTCCACCGCCTCTTAGTCCTTGTCGGACTCCTCCTCGGCCTCGCGGAGCCAGGTGAAGAAGGCGGTGACTGACTTCAAGGCCACACCTTTCCCCGTTTGCTCTGCGGGATCTTTGCTGGACTCCCATTTGTAGAAGGCCTCCTCTTTGATTACGTCCTCGTCGTACAGGGCGTCGAAGAACATCCGCAGAAGGTCTGCAGAAACAAAGCACCAAGGTCACCATTGATCCCTTAGCTGACATTTAAAAAGCTGCAATAAACCGGTCCTCTCCCACTGAATTTAAACAAAGGAGTTGAGGAAATGGTAGCTTAACTGATTATCAATCAAACAAAAGGAATATAAAGAAGATTCTGTTTATAATATTCAACATCGAAGCAAATTATGAGCAGAAGACTCACTTGCAGGTTGCTCCATGCGCACCATGAGAGCCTGGAGGGCATAAAGGGCCTGCAGCTCCTTCTCCTCGTCACACAGGTATCTCTGCAGCAGGCTGGCCCTCTGGTTGATCTGCGCCACATCCACCTTGTAAGGGTTGTCGCCTGACACGAGTTTAAAAAAAGAAAAAGAAAATTAGAACACCACCTTTATCAAAAATGTGACCCATCACATCGAAATGAGGGTTMAGTCTAATAGTGATWTRTGGAGAAATAGGCAAATATAGTCTAAAAACACTTCCAAAAATTGTGTTTTGTCAAAATATAACAAATAAATGTCTTATCAATGTTTCATTTGAATGAACTGTATAAAATTTAATCATTAAAAAAATTTTGAAGCACTTTTTTGAGCATTAGCAACAACAAAAAAGCTTGGAAATCTCAATATTTAAATACTATTTGAGATTTCCTTTTCATAAGGAAATGAAAAATTCCTTATAAAAACAACACAAAATTAGGATCCAGACCAAATATTAATGTATTATCATAACCAACAAGACAAATTAGGTCATATCTCTAGAAATGCTTTTGATATCAGAATGATCCAGGTATCAARATGTAGCTTTTAAAGCCAAGAATCTGAAAACGTAATTAGGTCATTTTGACCAAATTTGACTTAATCCTCATTTCAATATGATGGGTCTTAAATGTGTTCAGACCTGGGTAAAAAAAAAAAACACACACACACATTACTGGTTGTGTTTAATAATTAATCACTTTATGCTTGGACAAGTCAACAAATGCTGATGACTGACCCAAATATTTAAAAAAAAGTTATTAAAAACAACAAAGGAAAAAAAAACAAAAAACGGCAGCTCAGATTTCCACATGGTGTATTAGTCATACTTACATATGATGGCAGACTGGCACACTGAGGTCATCAGTGCTCGTACAAACTGGTTGGAAGCAGTCTGCTGCTCATCCAAATTAGCCTGAAACCAAAACACATCRGTTACAAACACAGGCAATACACAGCATTTAAAAAAAATGCAAAAACAGGAAATATCACCATTACTGGGTAAAGAAAACAAGGCAGAAAACAGTGAATATGACCAAAACTGTTATAAATCTGAACCAGGGGAGATCCTGGTCCTCGAGTGCCATTAYCCTGCATGTTTTTGATGTTTCCCTGCTCTTGAGCAAGTCTTCAAGTTTTGCAGAAATCTGTTAATCACTCGAAGCAAAGAAGCAGGGAAACATCTGAAACATGCAGGACAGGGGCCCATCGAGGACCAGGACCGGACACCGCTGATCAAAACAATCAGAAAATTGTCAAGTTGCCACAAACCTCGGTCCAGTCTCTGATGCGCTGGTTGTTGGCTTTGTCCTCCAGCAGTCTGTCCAGCTCTTTGCTGAGCTCCTCTCCGCTCAGGACCTTTTTCTTGCCGGTGTCTTTCGACTCCATCTCCTCTGTGGTGAACTCGACTTTCTAAAAAAAAAAAAAAAGCACACAGAAGCCTTGAAGGGTACATTAAGCAACTTGTTGCAGCTTGTTTTCATTTCACAGTCAAGAGGTTTTATTTGTTTAGAGACAGAAAAAAAGCTGRAAAACAGAATTCCTTTTCAAATGGATACAAAAAACGGCCTCAGCGTCTCTTAAGTTACCTGATCAGTGACAAATTTGTTCACRTCTTCATCTTCTGGCAAGAAATCGTTCCAATTTAGCCCAGCTTCTCTCCACAACGTCCCAGCCTTCTTTTGAGTCTGACAGAGGACATAAACTTGATTTAGTGCTGAATGGTGAAAACGTACAACATAATAAATGACTCAACTTTGTTCTCTGTGTTTTTTTTAGAGTTGTGTTCTTACCATTCCTTTGCAGAGCAGCTTGAGGATCTGTGCCAGCAGCACGCCGGCCTTCCCCAGAGGCACGAGAGGCTTCGAGATCTCCCTGAAGACACAATCACACCGTGTTAAACTCTCCTTCTTTAAACTTGCACATCAGAAGAATGTTCAGCTGTTTAACGCAACGTTTGTTGCATCATTACAACATTTTTCCTACTCAAGGAAAAAAAACAGTTTTTATTTTAAAAAGTTGCTTCTTTATAACAGTTTATAGTTTCTGTTTAAAGTTCAGATCTATAAAAGAGCTCCTGCTGAAGATAAATGACCTTGTTTAATATTTGGTTTACWATCTTTTATTCCAGCAGGAAACTTTCCTGTAACGCTCAATCCTTAACTTCAGTTATCAGCTGAGCACATATTTATTATGCTATATATTTATTTATAATGATCATGACTGTCAAAGCAATATTACATGTGTAACGACATTTGTTTTGTTAAGTTTTAAACAAGAGGCTTGARGGTTGTTACGAATACAACCTTAAAAGATTTAAATCTTGGCACAAGTTTTGTTATTTAAAATTATATAAAAAGATAATTAAATTTATTGCAATAACTTGTAACATTAAAAATACTTGAATTATCTCAGGTTTAGAGTCAGTAGAAATTACTAAAAAGGAATTCAACTAAAAAAAGGAATTTTTTTGCATGATTTTGACCAATTAAAATGCAAAAAATGAAAATCATTTCATCACAGAATGAWATTAAAATAAACCATGAGGTCATATAAACTGTTCAAATTTCATATACAGCTGAAGCAGAACATGTTAGTCAGAAATAATTTGAGTCCAAGACTAAAGGACTGAATAAAACATTAAACCKGATTCAGATTTATTATTATATTTAGATTAAAACAGCAAAAAAATTATAATAAATAAAAAGTTAATTTTTAGTTTAATTTTATAGGTTTCTAATTAAAGCCATCTATGAGTGTCAGATTATGCCTACAAATCCAAGAACCGCCAACATTTAGATGAACTTGATTACAAGTTTTACTCACCTGAAGAGCTGTCCCATAGGGATGCCTCCTTCATGGAGAATGGGGGTCAGCAGCTCAGCCAGGTAGAGCCAGATGTGAGGTATATCTATGGCCATGTCCTCTGCTGACTCCAGGATCTCTTGTAGCCTGCAACAAAACACAGAAACAACTCAGATTTGTTAAATATTATTATTTTTAAAGCAAGTCTTTTCTGTATCACTCACCCTTTGTAGTACTGCTGTATGGGTAACGTCCCCGCCTTTATAAGCTGGTGCAGCAAAAGGCCCATGTGCTCCCTCGCGATAGTGCTGCGTTCGAGTGTCGACTCGACACCGGTGCGCACAAATATATAAAGTAGTGAGGCACTATTGAGCTCTGCCACACACTGCAAGGCCTCCTACAGTGCCAAACAGTAAATAAGATCTGTTAGCACCCAGACGTTTGATTAAAAACTAATTTACATGCACTTCACAATTCTCCACATGTACCTTCACATCATTGATGTGCAGGAATTCTTCAATGATGGCGGTCGACTTCTTCTCAACCTCCTCCTCAGTCATGGCTGGTTTAGGAAGACCAGGAGGAGTGGGAACACTTTCACGCTTAACTATAAGACAAGTTGAAAATAAAAGCTTCGTSTCACTGGTTTGTGCAGCTCATACTCATTCTAAACAAGGAAGATTTAGGTTTTCTACCTGGGACGTCTTTGCTTGGACCGGTGTCCTGGCTTCCTCTGTCTCGACTTCCTTGTTCCCTGTTTCCTCGGTCTCTACTTCCTTGTTCCCTGTTTCCTCGGTCTCGACTTCCTTGTTCTCTGTTTCCTCGGTCTCGACTTCCTTGTTCTCTGTTTCCTCGGTCTCGACTCCCTCGGTCTCTGCTGCCCCTGTCTCGACTCCCTCGGTCTCTGCTGCCTCGGTCTCGACTGTCGGTCATGCTGGCGACGCGGCGCACGGACTCGTTGGCGGCTCGGCCCTCGCCGCCACGCTCCTGCGACTCCCTGCTGAAGCTCCTCTTGGTGATTTGGTTCCCGTCGCGTCTGTCGCTGCGAGTGAATCGGTCAAAGCGATCTCGGTCGTGGTCGCTGCGGTCTCGGTCAGCTCCCCGCTCGCGACTGGAGCTCGACCTGAAGTTTACGGGAGACAAACGGGCCACATGCTCTATTTCTACAGAAGTTTTTCAAAATGTCTTTCAAGCGGTGATTTAAAAGCGTAAAAACTCTCGAGGCAGTTCGAGAGGCTGCTGAAAAGGAAATGGCGGTAAAGCAGAAGGATGGGGAATTTTAGASAGAAGTGTTCTGAATACCTCTGAGGAACTCTGCGATCAGTGTCRGCTGATGACGACATGGATCCCTGCTGCAGGGCCGAGAAGCGGTTGAGGGTGCTGGTGGCTGGACGCCCAGAGTCTAAAAAGAGGGAAACATATGGATTAAGACCCAAATCACACAAAAAAAATTCATATAGTCTTTTAGAGACAGCTATTTTACCTTGATCTACACTTGCTTGTTTAGCCCCAGTTCCTCCACTGCTGCCTTTCCCCCAGCTCCCCCACATGCCTTTTCCACCAGGAGCCAGCAGCTGATTACTGAAGTCGACAGCACCGGGCTTCAGGAAGATAAAATCAAATTAAAAATTCACTCCTGAACCCTTTATTACAGCTCAGGAATGTGTGTGCAGAGGCCTCTGGTTCTACCTTTGTGATCTTGCTAATGCGGGTGGTGTCGATGGGTCGATTCTTGGAAATGGGCACCGTGTTCCAGCCCTCGTCCTGGGGCTGGCTGACCCGGCTTCCTCCTGGTGTGTGGGGGCCTCGGCCTCCCACGTTACCTCCCATCCTGCCTCCTCCACCACCACCTCCTCCTCCTCCACCACCACCACCGTCTTTCTTTGACAGGAGCTGTTGCTGGACTTTGATCTGTTCCCTGTGCTCCTCCAGTTCTGCCTCTTTGTGGATCTGGTCGATCGTTTTAGGGCCCTGATCTCCTCTTCGAGGCACCCAGTTGCTCTGAGGGTCAAAGATGGATGACAGTTGAAATATGCTCAAAGCAGGCATTTAGTGTTGAGTTTAGATTTGAAGGCCAAGCCCGACCCAAAATTTGAGCCGGGTTGGGCCAAAAGTACAAGTCTGATGGTGGAGTTGGGCTTCTGTGGTGCATTTTCAATAAGCCTACCACAATAAATTTTAAGATTTTTTTTTATACAACTGAAATATTGCATTGTGGAGAATAAATCATAATTTCAGCTCAGCATATAAACAGTAATTTTCACACAATGGAGTCAGAGGAGGAAAATAAATACATCTTTTGTTAAATATGGAGTGGAGATGAAACCCTAATTAGAGTTAATTAGTCGGGTTGGATCAGGCTTGGACACAATGTCTATGACATCAAAAAAAATTTCATAATACAAATGCATCTTTGGAAAAATAACCCTGAGAACATATTACAAAGTAATTTTCATGCTGCTGAGATGAACAGTTGTTGAGCTATTTGCATGTGAAGTAACAGGAAGTGATGTCAAAGGGGAATGTCTGCATGAAAACAGAGCTAGCTAAAATGCTCAACAGCCCAGACTGTGGAGAGGAATCTGATGTTTTGGATTATTTTAAGTCACTTTCAGACAGAAACAAACAAACAAAAAAAGTCAGTTCTGTCACTTCCTGTTTCCCTTTTGCCAAGCCAAGTTCAAAGGAAAATAGGTCAGTTATGTGTACAAATGGGTAAAATAATGTGTTATGCCAAGTTTCTTAAATAGATCTGAAGGATAAGCATGTCAAAGGCACTTTAAGGCCTGATCTAAACTCTAATTTAGTGTTACACAGAGCTTTTTCTGCTGTATAAATCATTAATCCTAATAAAACTCAGCACTAAAATAGGCAGACATCATTAGTACCTTTACTGAAGCATCCTGGATGAATTGTTAATTACCTTTCTGAGGTCCAGAACATCTTGCAGCATGAAGCGGATTCTGGACGACGTCTTTCTCTCCTTGATGATTTTGTCCATCTGGTTGAAATACTGATCCATACGAGGCTGTAAAAAAAAGACACAATAGTGGATTTCATGTAAAATGGTTAAATGGGAACCAGTGTATAAATAACTTAACGATCTCAAATGTCTTCTCAGTTCCTCAAACCCATCATTAATCATCAGTGGCCCAGACACGTGGCACAAAGACAAAGTCATCACTGAAGACATTTGATGTTATTTTACTGTTATGTTATATAACACATTAATTATTCCACACTTGGTTTATTGTGTTGAGGTGTATGGTAAAGCATGTAAGACCAGGGCTCTAGAGTGCGACCAATTTAGTCGCAAATGTGACCTGATTTCCTAATAGTACGACAAAAAAAAATTTCCGGTTGCACTGGTGCGACCAATCATTGGAGGGGGTGTGGTCACCCACTGAAACAAAAAATGTTCATGTCCCATACAAGGTTCTAGTAGTTTTGGATGTTTCATTATAGTTTAGTTTTATTTCGTTTTGACTTTTCTTTTAAACTCAGTTTTTATTAGTTTTTAGAGTGGATTTGCTAGTTTTTATTGTTTGTTTACTGCTTAGTTTTAGTTTARTTTTTATTAGTTCTAGTATTAGTTTTCTTATAGTCAATGCATCCTCCCGTTTATGGTGTTTCTGAGTTAACTAACCAGCATCCAAGGGTGTAGGAATGAGTTTACTATTGGGGGGGGGCGACGACACATATTATTGGAAACCTGACAGATTTGTACATAGTCTGAGCAGAAATATGTCATACATTAACTACACTGCAAAGCATTCACAAAATGCTATTGGATCTTTTCTTGGAAAAATGGTGATGTGGGTAAACTACCCAACAAAATATCTCAAGTCTAATAGGATTGYACAGCATAACRAATATACTGTCATCRCAATGTCAGAGTGTGCAACATTCATACYGCAAAGGACTTCTTRATGCACAATTGTTGACTAATGTACTTGAAGAGGTCTGAAGTTGTATTTTTTTATGCTAATGCATTATTTAGCCAGTAGGACAGGGTCTCATGGCAGCAAAAGCTCACACCTGACACAAAGGACTTTGCCAAAAATACTAAAAGCCACATAAAATAAAAAGTACAGATTAGAAAGAGAGGAAAGACAAAGGAGACATAGATCACATCTGATATCATCATTGCACTATTTACAAATATTATTGCCATCAGAAGATTTTTCAATATAAAATATCTGTTCTGTGTTCCTCTTTTCTTTTCCAGGGCCTTGAAATCATTTTTTCAAATTCACAAACTTTCAAGGACCCGTGGGAAACCTGGAAAGAACGGTGCACCTCAATCCAAGGAGTGAGATTGAGAAATAATCTGGAAAATGATGTTAAAAGTGCCAAATCAAAGTACATGTTCAAGAGAATGATGAAGGTTGGATTGCTGAAAAATTATGAAACAGTGTATGTAATGTGTAACCATATAATTTGTTGTTCTAGAAAGATTTGATGTTCTTATTTTTTGTTAACTAAAGATTATTATTGTTTGAATTTATACTTGAGGAAAAAAGGGGAAGATGTAATAAGATTTTTTTTTCTTCTCTCTGCTTCCTTTCATTTCATTGTATTTTCTTTTATTTTTATTGTACATAATTTTTTAATTTTTTTAATGAATAAAGTTAAACTTCCATCTGTTTTTGTCCATCGTTCGCTCACCTTCGCCTTCTCAAAGTCCAGGTCCTTGCCGATAGTGGAGAGAAGTCTGCAGAGACACTCGAGGGATTCCTCGTCGTGGTTCTTCAGTAGTTTCACCACGCAGTCGTGCATGATGGGCTCGGTCAGCATTTTCAGCTTAAAGAGTTCACCAATAAACTTTATGTTCCCCAGCGACCGCCTTCGAGCTTTGTCTCTGGTTTCTTCAAACTCCACCCTCAATCGCTCACGCTCCTCATCCTGAGGAAAACACACAATGAGGGTTTTGTGCTCATCGTTGGTATTGGCAAATATTCCGTTTTGTTTAAAAGATTTTAAAAATGAATGAATGAATTAATAAATAAATAAAATTCTTACTTTAGCAGCCTCCAACTCTTTCTGCTTTTTCTCAAAGAACGCATCATCATCCTGGTCCTTCTCAAACTCTTTCTGGCATCGGTTGAGCAACAGCTTGCGGAAGTTCACAAAGTTTCCGGACTCTGAGGTGGGTACTTTTAACTGAAAGATGGACCACATAAACAAGTTTGAATTAATCCTGGTTGAATTCAACAATGTTCATACAGCTGACATTAAAACTGGCAGATAAGATGAAATGCTGCTCCTTCAGTTCCTCAATACCATCACAAGCATTCAGTGGCCCAGACACGTGGCACAAAGCTGGAGTCATCACCAGAGCAGAGGCAAGGAGAAGCAGAGGGGGACTTACGGTCATAAGGCAGCGGCACATGTTGGCGTAGGCCACAGAGAAGTTGGGCTCTGAGATGGCCTTCTCAAAGATGAGGTCAATAACTCCCTTCAGCCTTTCTTCTGTGTCGATCTTCAGGTCCGTCACCTGCTTCATCAGCTCCTGGAACTTCTGCGGGGTCAGCTTGTTCAGGATGCTGCGCAGCCGCTTGAACAGCTCTTGGGTTTTGGCCTGTTCGGGGTCATCTTCGTCAACTTCCTCTCCTGCGCGGCTACGCGAGGACTTCTTCGTCGAGGGCTTCCAGGCTTTCTCAGCCTTGTTAAGCTGCACGTCATCATTGAGCGACATGCTGTTGATGATTCTTATTGGCACTTTTTTCTGGCCTTGCTGGGAGCGCCGTGGCCCGGGGGGCTTAAAGGAAGAAACAAAATTAATATAAAGCAAAGTTAGTGGAAAGAAACCTTTGTGTTTTGAACATTTAATTATGAATTTTTACATGACGACATGGAAACATAAGAGCTCTAACTGTTTTAGAAAAATGTAAATAAGCGCACCGGGCCTCGTGGTCCTCCGACTGATCTGCTCCCAAGATTTCCCAAATATGAGGGAGTAAAATCAGGACCGACATTCATCTGTCGAGATGGGTCAGCAGGTCGGAGTGGAGTCTTGTTTACCTGAATTTAAAAAACAGCAAAAGTTTACACTAAATTTATTTCCAGCACAAGAAATCTACATAAAGCAGCAACAACTAAATGATCAACTTCAAGTAAATGAGTCTGAAATATGGTTATCACCCACCTTGTCCAAGACCACGTCGCTGATGATGGGCAGTCCCTCAGGTTTGTGCATGCTGGCACTGCTGAACTGGAAGCGCAGGAGAAACTCTCTGTCGTACCGCTTCTTCTCCTCTGGGTCTATCGGCTTCCATTGTTCTGCAACAAATAAATGATGACGACAAACTTTTACAAGTGTCTTTATACTTTTCATTGGCTACAACTAAAGCTGAGTTACCAAGTCTTTTTCTTTATAATAATCAATAAACCACATGCTCCTCAAATCCTTAAAGGTGAAAATCTTTGAAACTTTGATGAAGATGTAGGAAACAACGTGAACTAGTAAAACAACAGTCCTATAATCAGACCTGCACAATCTAACTTAACGATGTCAAAACCTTCATATGAGCGGTGTTAGTACTGAAACAGACTGCGGAAGTGAGACTAGTTCTGGAACTATGATGATGCATTAATATCTGTAAACTTTTGAGTGAACTTTATTGAACTGCAATGGTATCCAACACTAGTTTACAGTCTCAAAAACACAGCTTACCTTCTTTGTATTGGTATTTCTGCTCAGTTGGCTCGAGTGGGTTCGTGGGTTTGTCTGGTTCTGCGTTCTGCTTGTCCTCTTTTTCCTCCCAAGTCTCATCGACGGGCTCGGCTGCAGGTTCAGCAGGAGGTTCGGCTGGAGCTGGAGGGCTGGTCTGAATGGGTGTGGGTTCAGGAACCGGCTGCTCCTGCTGACAGGATTAAAATGTCCAAATTAGCTTAATGGTTTGAAAAATGTAAGAGATGATAAAGAACAAACTGCTCTATAACAATTCGGTGTTACTGCAGTTGTTGGTGTGGATGAAAATGAAACTTACATCCTTAAAKGCATCCAGAATGTCCCCGATGTCTCCCTTCTTGTTGAGCTCTTTCATGGTTTTCTTTTTCTTTGGCACGGACAGAGCTGCAGAAAAAAAAAAATCAGTTTTCTACATGGGTGCTACATTTAGTGTTGCAAGACGTAACTCAATTCCTGTAACATAAAAATGTGTTTGCACGTTGCGAAGTTCTGAATCAAAAACATAGCAATGTTCAGATTTCAAAAATAAACTGGACTTAATTTATGTCAGTATGACAACATTCATCCCATCTTTAGTTCCACTATGTGATCTGAAGTCCAGTCAGTAAAGATGATGTAATCATCATCATTCACRTTACATGTAAAATGTTTTACACTGGTCCAGGTTGCCACCTTTATTTTTCAGGCCTGCATGTAAAACACGTGTTTGAGAGCGTGCACTTATGTTTAAGCAGATTTCTTCTGGTGTAAAATAATTAATACTCTACCTTGCATAATAGGAGATTCCTCTGGGCAGCTGACAGAGGCATGAAGAGGATCTTTTTTCTTGATCTGCGACTCTTCCTCCCGTGTCTCCCCCTCTTCCTCCTGTGCTGGTGACGTTGGTGCTGCCACAGGTGTGGACTCCTGAGATTGAGAAGGGTCGGGTTTGTCGTGGGGTGTAGTGTCAGAAACTGGTAGGTCCTCAGACGGCTCTTCGGTCTCCTGAGGAAGGCCGTTCGAAAGGGGAGACTCTGCCGTCTCGGCCGATGCGGGTTCTGGTTCGGGGTCGGAGCTCGGCTCGACGTCCTGGCTCTGCGGCGCAGCGGGTTCCGTTACAGACGGGGCGGGCTGGGAGACTTCGCTCGTTGCTTTTGCAGCCGTTTCCTCTTCTGCCAGCTTTACCGGGGCAGCTGTTGCTGCAGCCTCAGCTGCAGGCTCTAACGTGGGTGTCTGCTCCTCTTTTTTCAATTTAACATCTTCCATCTTCACTTCCTCCTTTTTGGGAGCTACTTCAGCTGGAGGAGCAGCCTGTGGCTCCTCCGCTTTCACAGGAGTCTCTGGTGCTGCCGCTAACGACACTGAGGGTCCGACAGGCGCATCGACTGTGTCACTAACATTAGCACTGATGACCTCTGCATCACTGATGACACCTGCTGCTTCTGGAGGAGGGGGAGATGGAGGCTGCTGGTCCTTTAATAGTGGGGGCAGTGCCTCAGGAGAAGCTGTGGTAGCCACAATCTGTGCCGCTAACTCAACAGGCGGCGTCACTTGGCTTTCTACTTCCTGTTTGACCTCCACTACAGGCTCCGTGTCTACTGTAGCTGGAGGTGGAGGAGTTTCAGCACTGGAGGGAGGCTCCTTATGTTCATCTGGTCAGCGTGAAACAAGAAAATATCTCAATTTTAAAAAAAAAATGTGCAGATGTATTTTTCAGCTACTCAAAATGAAGGCTGTCTCACCTCTTGCCACGGCAACAACCGGCTGTACAACTTCACCATTGGTTTGGGCGACACTCAGATCTGTTATGGAGGCCTAAGATCAGAAAACCAAAGTTTTAACACCTGAAGTGGCACCAGCTCAACCACAGCCACTATTTGATATTAAACTTGGTAAAAAGGCCCTTAGATTTTCCGCTCCTGCCGCTTGGAATAACACACAGAAGGATTTGAAGTTAACATCTCTCGTTACCTTGGGACAATTCAAATCAATTTAAAAGGACAGAGACACCAGATCACTTAGATGCCCTCAAGTTTAGTTTTGTGATGTCTGTTAGTTTTGTGTTTTGAAATTTGGATTTGTTGTTTGTTTTTTTGCTGCTGTCTTGGCCAGGTCACTCTTGGAAAAGAGGTTTTAAATCTCGAGTTAATTTCCTGTTAAATAAAGGATACTACTAAGGCCTGCGTCACACTACAAGAAAATCATGCCTATTTTTCCCTTCCGACAATCTTAAGGAAGTCCAGATTATTGTGATGGCTCTAAAGAGAATCACAGCAGATATTCCTGTCGTGGGCGGTGAGTTAAGAGTGATCTAGTCAGCTCAGAAGGACGTCGGGACCGCTCCAACCTCAAATCAGGGATATTCAACATGTTTGATTTTTTGGCCCGATATCACAGCGTGTGTAGGGCTGCACCGATTAGTTGAAATAATCAATGACGTCGATTATGTAAATTTGTCGACGCAGATTTTTTATTATCGATTCGCTGTATTACATAACCACCACGTAAATGTTCATGCAATTCCATTTCGGTACCTAAACGCATCATTGCGACCGTATTGGCTGAAGAGTGGTGAGTTTTCCATGCTTGTCCAGAATGCAATCAAATAAAAATTAGTCGTAAAACAGAACAAAGCTCAAACCTTAACTTTTAAGAAGTGTAGTCACGTTATGCTGCTTGCATTCAATAATAAAGTTAGAATTTTCTAAAAAAAATTAATAATTGGTTAAGAAATTAAAAGTATTCCCTAAAGTTTAGTCTTACCTGTGGTGGAGTTGGTGTAGTGGAGGATCTTCCACCTGACATGATCTCCTTTGTGATATCACGCCCACCTTGGTTGGGGTCTCGTATTATTATCTGTCCAAAGAAAAGAAGTTTAGAGCTTCTACAGACAATGCACAGTATATTTCTATACATAACAATCCTATCACTTCTGACCTTTAGTTGACACCCAGCGTTATAAAGCCATTGTTATTTTGAGGTAAAAAGGAAAGTTCCACAATGAACCAACACCACACTTCTTTATTCAGCCATGTTTCACAAGAGGTGCGCTGCCCCCTTTTGTTGAAAACACACTACCTGTTTGCGTTCCCTCTTTAGCTGGCCTTGTGGCTGTGCTGGCAGTTGCTGAGGAGGCGGGGCTTGTTGCTGGTGCTGGGCCGGGTTGATCATGACCGGTGCAGCCTGGACTGATTGGGTGTACTGTGGTTGAGCTGGGTAATATGCTCCTGCTGCTCAGGGGGGAACGAAAGGAGGGGGGAAAAATACAAAAAAATAAAAAGGTTAACACTTTGCACAAAATGTTTATTCTTATGGGACTGGATGTCAACAACGGCATAGAAGAGGTCTGATAAAACTAACTAACCCTGATATTTAATGAACAGTTTCTTTGATGAACACAGATACATAGATGTCTATAAACAGTACATACTATATTTTACAGAACCACTCCAGTTTAACACGAGCACCATCCATTATTTGATGTGARTTGCACATTTTAGACCAACCAGGTGCAAAATTATCTAAATGTTACAGTGAGAAAGAAAGAACAAATGTAGGACATGAGTAGAGACGGGAAGTGCCACAAGATTATTGCTGCTGACRCTAGCTGACCACAAGCACACACACGCTACTCACCGGGGTAGCGCTGGGAGGCGAGAGGAGCACCGTGGAGAGAGAGACGACCGTTCTCTCGCCCACCCCCTCTCCCCCCGCCACCCCGCCTCTCCCTCGCAGCAAGAGAGGGATCTGAACGCAGCAAGGGAGGAGGAGGAGGAGAGGGAGTGAGGGAACGGGAG